AAAGCCCTGGAGATGAGACGGTTTGACACAAGGGCAGCATCCATGGACTGGGGCAGGACCAGAGCAGTGTTCCATTCTGCTGTGCAGAGGGTCGCTATGGCTGGAAGCTGACTCGATGGTACTAAACAATAGCAACATCCGCTTGGTTGAGATGAACACTATTCGTTCTTGTCATAAAGGCCAGTTTCACCTATGCGATTCCCTCCAAACTACTCACTCACTGCCATCGCCATCTAGTCTGGGCCGACTCTTACGGAAGGAACCTCTAGAGCAGGGAAGAACTGCCCCTGTGGGTTTCCGAGCCAACGGGCGTGTACGGCCCGTCTTTGTCCTGCGGAGGAGCGGTGCTTTCAGACGATGGACCTGGCATAGCACTCTGCAACCAGTGCCCCCTGGGGACCCTACACGACAGGGTAGTACTGCCCCTTGAGGGGCAGTAGGCCCTGTCCTTTCCCCTACAGAACAGCTGGTGGCTTCTAACCACTGGGCCACCAGGCCTACCAGAGATGGCCAAAATCCTGAAAACCGTGAAGGACCACAACAAAGAGCTAGTAGAGATGGGGAGTCAGACCCAAAGCAGAAGCAGAACCATCAGCCTCCCACCATTTCTCTGGCAGTTCGGATTTGCATACATCTCCCTTGAAGGGCTGTGAACCCATTACAAGGATCTACATGTGACCTCCTCCCTGGGTGACGGGAGACGTCCGACAGGCCAAGATATGACAAGATAATTTATAAATTATCAAGGGTTCATGAGGGGGGGGGAGCGGGGAGGGAAGGAGGGGGAAAATGAGGAGCTGATGCCAGGGGCTTAAGTGGAGAGCAAATGTTTTGAGAATGATGAGGGCAATGAATGTACAAATGTGCTTGACACAATTGATGTATGTATGGATTGTGGTAAGAGTCGTATGAGCCCCTAATGAAACAATTAAAAAAAAAAAAGAACTCTCAATCAGCCTCTCTGGGCATCAGGGGAAGGAGGCGCTTCAGTCTGTCCCTCAGCCCCACTGCTCACAGAAGGCAGCTGAGGCGCTGGCGCCTCGCAGACGCTGGAAGGAGGATCTGATTCGGCTCTGGGTGTGAACTAACTTCCCATCACCATTCTGAATGGAATTCTGGGATGGGCCTCCAGACCACTTCTCCACACCCAGCCTCCCACTTCCCTAATCACCCCCAAAGGTGTAAACCTCTTCAATCAGCTAATCTTGCCTGCCATCTCATCTCTGTTCCCACAGCCCAGGAGGCCTTCACTGGCTCCTCCTCCCTTTCCTGACCCCATGTAGAACACTTTTCCTCTGCACCCTCAAAGGTAAGTCTCTTGCCAAAACACAACCCTACTGCATTTCCTTAGAATATTCTCTCCAACGCCTCCCTTAATTGACAATCTCTCAAGTGGTGGTGTTGCTCACCTCCCCCCCCCACCACACCCCACCTCTCCCTCTCACCAAACACTTCTCTCCCCTCCAGTTCACCAACACCTGACAAAACCTCTACATTCCCTCTCATCAATCTCTAGCGCCCTCCTCTCCCTACCCCCACCCACCCCCAAGGGTCACCAAACCCTCTTGATTTTATCACTGAAATGTGTCTTAGATCTGGCCCCCGTATCTCCATTCTCATGGCCTGGTCAAACCTTTTACTCTCTCTCCTGACCTAATACGCCAGGGCTTCAGAATGTTCATAGAGCAAATTCCATGATCTTTTCCTTACAATTTTCCACACATTTGAGGGGACTTCAAAAAGTTTGTAGGAAAATTAAAGGAAAAGATACTGATGAGTTCCCACACCGTTTTTGAAGCTCCCGGATATTTTAACTAGCTTCATGGCCTCCAGTCTCTTTCCCCAACACAATCCATCATCCTATGTATCATCCAACATATTGCTGCCCATGTGTTTCCCACTGTGACAGTTACATTATCTCGGGTCCACTTGAGTGAAGGGGTGGACTCTAGCCTGTTCATCAGGTCATAGCCAATAATGCCTCTGGGTGAGCATGGCCTTTTCCTGAGGATGCTGGGACTCCTGTCTTCCTCCCTGGCAGCAGGAGACTCTCTCCCTCTCTGTTTGACATTCCTGTTGACAAGCCACATGGAGGCATCCGGATGGCAGCCAGAGCCCTGGAGCTGGAGGAGCCACATAGAGAGGCATGCCCATGCTGAGAGGCTTCCACAAGACTTTTCATCCACTGGCCTGTGATCTTCCTGCTTTCGGCCTCATTGCATGTGCTATGTGAGAATTTATGGACTAGTATCGGGCATATGGGCTAATATCAGACTTATGGGCTAATATCCAACTTATGGACTTGATCTGGACTGGGCCAGGATGTTTTCTTAATATACAATTACTCTTAGATATAAAACTCTCCCTTACACGAGTGTCCCTGGATTTGTGTCTCTAGTCAACCCAACCTAACACACCCACAAAACAAGTACTGAGTACCAACTGTGTTCCAGGCACCATGAGAAGCACGTGGAAAAGAGGTGAATACACAACCCCTGGCTTCTAGGCATCCATGGGTTCACCTCCAGAATGGGAACCATCCCCACAGCGGGTCCTGTGATAGATCTTCCTACCTAAGAGGTACTGATTTCACTTCACCAGATCTCGTTTTTTTTGAAGCGGCAGGAATCCCTCCCACTTCAGACACGTCACATCCGGCACAGCTCCTCACATCCTCTCACCACCACCATGTGCTGGGTACTACCGTTTATCCCCATTGCAAAGATGAGCACAGTGAGATCAAGGGCAAGCAGGTGCCACAGAGGCGATTCAAGCCTACATGTGACTCTAGAGCAGCGGTTCTCAACCTGTGGGTCACAACTCCTTTGGGGGTTGACTGATTCATCGCAGTAGCCAAGTGACAGTGATGAAGTAGCAACAACGATGGTTTTAGGGGTGGGGGTCACCAGAACATAAGAAATTGTATGAAAGGGTCGCGGCATTAGGAAAGTGGAGAACCGCTGCTCTAGAGCGTTCTGCCTCTCCCAATGTCCGCAGCACATTGACCAATTAGGGGGGAAGCTTCTAGAAACCAAACCACGTGAAGAAAGGAAGAGCAAGAGAGTGTGGGAAGAAGGAAACCAGAAAGAAAAAGAGAGAGAAACCGGGGGCAGGGGGAGAAGTGTCATTGCCTTGTGAAGCACTCGTTTTAAGACTGGCAATGGTAGCTGTTTCCAAATATTTGAAGGGTTGTCATATGAAAGAGGAAGCAAACTTATCATGTGTGGCTCCAAATGGCAAAAGTCCTCTTTGGCTGTGGCGAAACTTAATTGCGGCTCAAAAACCTTGCTAACAGAGCCCTCGAACCACTGTCTCTGTGTGTCTAAGGAGAAACCAAGTAGCCATTTGCCAGGGGAGACATTCTTGCTTTTAGTGAGCAACTGATAGAGATCAGTTAGTTAAGTGCACATCAGAATTACCTAAGATGGCATTTTCAAAATACAGATGGCTGGCCCCACCCTAGTCTTAGTGGAAACAGAATCTGGGGGGTGGAGACCGTTACTGCAACAACTACAAAGGAGGAAGTCAGTCTGTAAGAGGGTGCGTGCCAATCCTCAAAAGAAGCAACATGAATAGGCAATTGCCATGTGGAAAACCGTTCAACTTCAAGAGTCATTGAAGCAATGCAAATGAGAACAGTGCTGCACCATTTCTCTCCTATCATCAGGGTGGCATGTGTCTAAGAGACTGACAATAATACGCAACGCTGGCAGGGAAGAGGGAAAGTGAACATGCTTAGACTCTGCTGGCAGAAGATTCAATGGAAGCTCTGCAGAGCAACTTGACAGTATATTTCATAGAAATTTTTAAGACTAAAATTACGTCTAACCTTTGCGTAAGCAATACCACTGCTAGGAATTTAACAGAAGAGGACAATCTAGCAAATTTGAAAATGCCTACTCAGAGATGTTAATGTAATTACTGGTTATAACAGTGCTAGACCGGAGAACGTTCAGTGATGATGAACATGTGCTGTCCTGCACAGAGTCACTGGTCACTTCTGTCTACTGAGCATTTGAAGTGTGAGAAGTACAACTTGGGAAACTGATCTATTTTTATTTAAGTTCAAATAGCTACATGTGGCTACCATTTTGGACAGCTGTGTACAACACATCACAATATTAGAAAATAGCCAGACATCAAACAATAAAGTGTGCATATCAATGGTTCACAAATATTGGAATTTGAGGCAGTCATTAAACATAATTATGTAGATTTGGTATTAATGGCAATATTCTTACAATATGTTGATAAGTGGAACATTATCTTTGAAGAGTTAACATAATGCTATATTTGTTTCAATCCATGTGTTGTCACGTGTGCTTGTGTGTGTGTTACACCCACCACCCAACTGTCAGTTTGTCACACTGTAGTGGCTTACATGTTACTATGAAGAACCGGCATTTCAAATACCACCAGGGTCATCCATAGTGGACAGACTTCAACAGAGCTTCCAGACTAAGAGAGACTAAGAAAAAAGGCCTGGTTATTTATTTCAGAAACTTAGCCAATGTTATGGATCATAACAGAATTTCATCTGCTACACGGAGCCCTGATGGCACTGTGGACTAGGCACAGGGTTTCTAACCACAAGGTTAGTGTTCAAAACCACCAGCCACTCCACAGGAGAAAGATGAGGCTTCATGTCTATGTAAAGAGTTACAGTCTCAGAAACCTTAATATGATTGCTATGAGTCAGAACCCACTCGATGTCAGCGGGTTATAGTGCTAAAAGGTAAGCCCCCGAAGTTGGAAGGCACCCAAAACACAACAGCTGGCATCTAGGAAAAGTGAGATGGCACAGAAGTAGGCAATGTTCTGTTCATTTGTACAAAAAGTAGCCGTGAATTGAAGCGAACTCGTGGACCACATATATATACATAGAAAAGTGTCAAAATGTATATATCCAACTCCAAACAGCATGCCCTGAGTGAAGAGATGGTGATTATTTTCTGTTTTCTAAAGTACACATGCATTTCTTTCTTTTTGAACCAGATGTGTTTTATTGCAGAAATTTGGCCAAGGTTCCAATTGGGTGGCCTGGCTCAGGGGCAGCCAGGCCTGCTGCCCAGGGCTGGGCAGGTGAGACAGGAAAGGGCAGTGGGAGTGGGGAGTGCGTCTGGGCCCAGGGCCTCAAGAGCTGCGAGAGGATACTGGGGGCCAGACTACAGGTGAGACCTGTGCCGTCTGGCTCCACATTCAGGGCCTTCACTACACCGTCCTCGATCACCATGGAGAACCTCTTGAGCCTTCGGTTCCCAAAGATCGGCACCAAGGAGTCATCTAAGAGCAGATCTGTTTCCTTCCCAAAGGCCCCAGTGGGGTCCGCCAGGAGCCGAACCTGGCCTTCTGCCTGGTGGGCTTTCCCCCATTCGCTGGTCACAAAGACATCGTTGACGCTCAGACAAGCCACCACCTGGGCTCCCTTTGCCTTCAGAGCCCCAGCCTGCTCCACAAACCCCGGAAGGTGAGTCTTGGAACAGCCTGGCGTGAAGGCTCCAGGAACTCCCAAGAGGACACTCTTCTTGCCCTTGTACAGCTCGGCCAGGCTCACCTTGGTCCCAGGCTCCCCCCCTTTCAACACCACCACCGCAGGAAGGGCATCGCCCACCTTGATCGGGGCCATGGCTGCTGCAGCTCTGTGGAATCAGCGGACGCCATCACACGTCCACCTTTTCCCTCCTCCTTCCGGCCGCCGTCCTGCTCTCACTGCCGCCTGCTCGAAGGCAGTCGCTCCACCGGACAGCAATCCCGCCCACCGGCCCACACCCCGCAGCCCCGCCAGCCCCATACCCGGCCCTGCGGCAGCCACCGCCGCTCACACGTGCATTTCTTAATAGAGCAATAAAAGATTTAAAGAAAGCTTACTGATGATTAAGAGAGGGTGGGGGTGGGGTAGGGGGAGTCAACCCCAAGAATATTATGTTTACAAGTTTTTCTTAGAAAACAAATTCGACTCGACCAAAGAAACCCAAACCAGTGCTGTCCCCCCCATTCTGACTCATGGCAACCCCATGTGTTTGTTACACAGGAGAAGTGCTCCACAGGGTTTTCTCGGTGGTCTGTCTTTATGGAAACAGATTGCCAGCTTCTTTTCCCATTGCACAGCCAGGTAATTTCAAAGGGCCAAATTTTAGGTTCATGCAAGCCATTTGAGCCACTCAGGGACCTTATACATTCTATGTGATGTTTAAAATTGGGTTCAGCAAGAAGGTTTCAAAGCAACCTATGTGCGGGGAAAGCCCCTCAAGGAGAGGCTAATGAAAGAACAGTGCCCTCAGTCATGTTCAGGGGCCAACCTTGATTACCCTATTTTTCCACATATAATGTCTGCACGAAAATAGTTCCCATCTGTATATAACACCCATAGTGCTTAGAGAAAACTCATACAGGAGGGGTTGTGAAGATCACCCCCCCAAAAAATAACCATATAATATGAACATTATTTGCATGAAATACCATCTCTCTTGGTTCAACTCACTCAGAGATCAGCTATCTGAACTAGAAATGTTTGGTGTCAAGAAGACCAACTTGAAACTAGGCATCAATCTGCACCTTTTTAAAGGAGAAGCCGGGGAATTTGTCCTATATAAACTACTTTCCACAAATTCCCTTGGGAGGAGGGGACAGAATAGCCAATTTGGTTTCAGTCCTTTCCGAAACTTGAACATAACAACATTCCACAAAAAGGTAGTTGTGTGCTTGGGGGTCAGGGGGTCAGCAGCTGCTGGTCCTTGTCAGTCCTTCTCAGCTTGTGAGCAGCTTTTCATAGTAGGTTAGACCCAGTGAGAAAGATTTTGGCCAGGGGACACGCCTGCCTCAAGGAGCTATGCAGCCTGTAATATTAAACAAGGCATTGAGGGTAAGCTCCACAGCAGCAAACAGGATTGAATACCTACCAGGTGACGACTTCCTGCTAGAAGCCCTGGGGGTACTGTGCTTATGTGTTGGTCCGCAATCTGCATGCTCAGCAGCTGGGAAGCACCAGCAGCTTCAAAATCACCAGCAGCTCCACAGGACAGGGACTGGGCTTTCTACTCCCATAAAACAGTTACCATCTCGGAAACCCACAGGGGGTTGCTATGAGTCAGCACTGCCTCCATGGCAGGGAGGCTGGGGTTTTTATTTTAATTAGGTTTTGTAGGCAACTTCCAGGGGAGCCCTGTTGGCCTAGTGAGTTACAAGTTGGGCTGTTAACCACGAGGTCAGCAGCTGGAAGCCACCAGCGACTTCTCAGGGGGAAAAAAATGAAGGTTTCTACTCCCTTACAGATTGAAAATCTCAGGAACCCACAGAGGCAGTTCTTCCCTGTTCTGTAGGGTCCCTAGGAGTTGGCCCAGACTCACTGGCAGTGGGTTTAGGTAACTTTCCAAGAAGAGCCCGAGTGTCAAAATAGTTAAGCACTCAGCCGCTAAACAAAGGCTGGGAGTTCAAATCTACCCTGTGGGGAAAAGACCTGGCTTTCTGATCTCAAAAAGATTTACAGCCACGGGAACTCTCTGGGACTCCATCCTATAGGGTCGCTGAGTCAGAATGCACAACACAACAAGCAACTTTCCTAGACTGACACTGCCATACAACAAACACAACCACTCCATCCAATGGATTCTGACTCACAGTGATAGAACTCTGTATCTGGCTTCTAAGACCATAAATCTTCATTGCAGCCCACAGCCTCATCCTTCCGCTAGCGGCAACTGGAGAGGATGAACAGCTGACCTGACAAGGTGACCTTACTCCAAAATCACAGTCCACCAGGGTGTCTTCCATGATCAACTCTAACTCAACTCAGACCATCCAGTTGATACCAACTCATAGTGACCCTATAGGGCAGATTAGAACTGCCCCAGTGGGTTTTCTGCATTTTCACCGTGTGTACATAGAAATACCTCTCCATGAAAAGCACACACTTTCAGGCTAGAATACTCCTAGTCTTCCCCAACCTCCTCTTGGATAAATACCTGCCAATCGTAATACTGTTAACTGCCCATTTCCTGGGTAAAAAGTAACCTTTCAAAAAACCGAAACAAAAGGCCGGACTTTAAAAAAGGCAGCCATGCAAGACTCTGACTGCTTCATGGTGGAGTTAATAGATTCATGAAAGTACTTCCGACTGAATGAAGGTTTGAATGCACGCTATATATAGCCCAGGCTTTCTGAGTTTTTCCAACACTGTGCAAAATGGAGTGATGTTAGCAACATGCCAACAAGGGTATGAATGTAAAAAAAGGGGGGGGGATTATAAACAGGAAACGTAGTATCTTTGTTCAGCTTACTAGGTTTTCCAAGTTGTGGCCTGAGAGACCCCAGAGGAAGCTTGACCTGCTGCAGGCGGGAAGCCACCTCCTATGGAAGCTCTACTGTGGAGGAGCTGGTGTTTAGAACGGCAAGTGTAAATTCTCCCTCAGCTGTCTCTACTACATCCGATGCCGACTTCCACTGGGAAAGAATCCGAAGTTGGGGCAGCAGCTGCAGCAAGCTCTGCGGGCTCTCTGGGCGCCTGGCGCTTTGCTAACTTTGGCTAACAGCTCTTTGTGTCAGGGAGGCAAGGGCTGAGGAAGCGCTTCCCTCAGAAGTGCTTACTCCACGAGGCATTTTATTTCTTAGTTGATGTCCCTGCTTGCAAAGGGCACTCCCTGAGGTGCTAGGAATAATCTAGAATGGATTTGAGGAGGGCGAACATCGCAATAAGTGCAACAATGAAGGAAATGTTCTAAAATGGATTGTGGTCGCCACATCGCACAACCCGTTTTTAAATCGTATGCAAGCCATTGAATTGCATGGCACACCAAGTACATGGCAATGCACAGTGAAGTCACTAAGTAAAGCTCTCTGGAAACTAGCTTCTAGAATAGCAAGAAATGCACATTGCGAGAAGGGGGAAAATGGTGATACCACGGGAAGAGGTGGGATGAGAAGGCAATGAGAGGATTTTTTCATCTATTTTCATATGGTTGGGATCCTTAGGACAGTAGTAGTCTTCATGTGTAACTTTTAGCAATATTCTTTAAGATTTATTAAAATAAAGTGCTGAAATCAATAAAAATACGAGTAAAATGGATTTGTGCAAATGTGGGTCATCCTAGTGGCAAGCACACGGATGAACACACGCACAGTCCAGATCGGAATTAATGAAAACGAATGCGGAAAAGGTCATGTACATTCATCTCTAATTCGATGGCATCCGGCGTTTGGTCTTGCACCGTGTAGGAGTCCAACCAACCTGGAGGGATTCAGGGCTGGAGAACTCTGGGCACTGGGGCCACACCATCTCGGAAAGGACTGGCTAGCAGACTAAGCACAAAGTGTCTGTCGCCTGCATTGCCTGGTGTCAATACAGAAAAGCAATGGCCTTGGCTCCAACTAGACTAGGCTGACAAGCCATCAGTGGCCCCTGGCAGCATCTGCTTAGCAAAATTCCTAGTCCCCTCTCAGGAAGTTTTTCTAGCTTTGCCACCTATGGCCAAAGGTTAGGAAACGGCTGCATGGCATCTGTGCAGCACAGAACTCTTTTTTAAAGCCTAAAAAACTGGGCAAGAATGCAAATGTTTTTTTAGGGGGCAGCGGGGCACTGCTGAGGGTACACGGGTCAAATGCTGGTCATATCCCAGAGGAAGATCACTAAGTCCCATGTATTCTCTTGAGACCATCTGTCTGAATCTCACAGCTCCCTTCCCACCTCACCACCCCCTACACACACACACACACACACACACACACAATGTAGTTAGAAGGCCCACCACCACTGCTCAAGATTGCCCTCTTTTTGTCCTTAAATTTTGGAAACTGGTCCCCTTGCCTGGCAGATTGAATCACTTGCTAACTGTCAGCCCAGATAAAAGAGCCCTGATATAAATGCCCCAACACACTGCTTTGCCTTCCTCTCTAACGGGCTGTGATGACAGGTGAGGTTCCCAATGTGACCTCAGCCGGGCCTCAAAACGAAATCACAGTGAAACCCGAAATCAGCCAACTCCATTAAAATAACATAAAAGGCCTGGGTTTTGCTCCCCTAAACTGCAGGAGTCAACTTTTAAGGGTCTGGTCTGAATAGAGAGATGGCTTTAAAGTCATTTGACTTTCACAGTTGTAGCTATTAGGGATCAGATCTTTATCTCAAAGGTACACATTTTACCTTTGATCCTCCTCCAGAGCTCCCACTAATGTCAACTTTCTCCACTGTTGGGAGCAGGCCCTTAGCCTCCCTTTAATGTTGGTTTTATTGCCGATTCTACAAGATCAACAGAAAAATTACAAGGAAAAGCTGTGAAGTTCCCTTTCAATGACAAGTTGTTTCAACAAAAAGAGCCTGCTCTTAAATGGTGAAATTTAAACACAGCAAACAGCACAGTGTAAGGGGGGCGGGCGGGAGTGGTGAAGAGCCAAAAAAAAAAAGGGGGGGCGGGAAAAGTAACAAAGCAAAAACGCTAATTAAGTGGTCCTCCAGTCTGGGAAATTGGCAAAGAGGGTCTTGAAAACAAGAAGGGGCAGGTGCTTGTTAGCACCCATTGGCTTCGCTCGTATCTGCATGCACACAAGCCAGAGGAAGCTGCGGGTGGGGGTGGTGAAGAAAGGGTTCCCAGGGGGTCAGCGTGCTTGCCAATTCCCATCCCCCAGTCCTGAGGGTTTCAGAGGCACCTCCAACACTGGGCGGTAGGGCTTGGACCCCAGGCCTGGTGCTCTCCTCCCCAACACACCCGCTCTTCCCCTAAACCCTCACTGCCCCATCTCCTGGCCTCTGGAGCATTCCTGGATCCCAAGAGACACCCTCGCCCTGCAGA